AAAAACACGTACCTTGTTTCCATAAAAGTATGAAGTTAAACTCTCAGTGAGACCAGTAGTGTATTTGTACTTCTAAAGAATTTGAACCATGAGTCAAACAGGAATTATTTCATTTAAGTTATTTTCTAAAGACATTTGATGAGCCGTTTTTATGGGTTCATGCATAGGCACTTTTAAAACATTTTCAGTTTGATTTGGATGTTTGTTAGATATGTGGCATTTTTGAATGATGGAAAACATTTGCCTTTTTATATATTTTCAGATTAAATAGAAACAGTTACATGGAACTTCTGTGGTTTCATTTATATAAATAATGTTTTTGAAAAGTGCTTCTGTTTGATTTTGGAAATTTTTGCTTTCTAAAGGACGCTGACTTAGCGAGAAAGGCCATAAAACCCATTGAAAGAGTCTTATCATCCACTTCTGAAGAAGACGAGCCAGGCGTGGTAAAATTTTTAAAAATGAATTGTCGATACTTCACCGATGGAAAGGTATACAGCAGCATAACTTGTCTTTTTTTTTTTTGGACTCTGTAGAAAACTAAACGAGGTTCCAAATTACTGAAGACAGGCTACATTAAAATATCTTATCCAAAGTTTCAGCTTAAGATTTCACAAATGTCCATTAGTTTCCCCTGTTTGATGCCAGAAATTTTACTTGTTGAGTAAAATGTGATCATTGAGTGGAAATATGATTCTTTGTGACCTTGGGTTTATCATTTTACCTCTCAGTTCTTAGCCTATAAATCGATAGGGAGGCAGTATAGTTCTATGTTTAACAGCAAATGCTAGCATCAGACTTACTGAATTTAAATTCCAACTCTGCCTCCCACTAGCTCTGAGATCATGGGCAAGGTATTTACATTTCCTACGCTTCCATTTTCCTCATCTATAAAATAGGAACAATAATAAAATTTGACAGGGACAATAAAATTTTACTAGTAGTGTATTGTAATTAAAAGAGAGAATTCATATGAGGAGCTTAGCCTCTAACCTGAAAATGGTAAATTCTCAACCCGTTTGTTGCTGGAAATGCTGATATTAAAAATGTCTGCTGTAGTATGTTTAGTTTTTGTGGTTGCTGGTGGTTTTTACAAAGAACAAATTCAACTTTTAGTGAGCCTCTGAAGAATGGGTTATGTTGATTTAAAGCAAATTCCTATGTTCATAGTAGAGACTTCATGTCAGGTTCCAAACAATAGGAAAATACATTATTGATTCAGACTTACAACTTTTGCATCCGAAAATAAGTAATGCCTGAGATGCAAAACTTTTCGCAAAGTTGAGCACTTAAGTCAATAAGTACAAAATAAGTTATTTACCTAAACAGAACCTTCTGTATCCTGCTGTCTCTGCTAGATCATATCCTTGTGTCCCTCAGGGTTTATAATAGAAACTGACCAAGCTTCAGACTTTTAAATTCCCACCAAGCTGCTGTTTTTTTGCTTTTCATTTCCGTAGTTCGGCACATTCATTTCTGGCTGCAAAAGTTTCATGTTTCTATTTGTGTCAAATTTTGCTGGATGTAGGCTTTCTAAACATTTTAGAGAGAAATATTAGGACTGTTCTTTGATACCATGACTCCGAGGCAGCTGCTCCCTTACACAGTACTAGACACTTGTTGGACACATGATGACTATGTGCTGAGTGAATTGTAAAGAACTCAATTGGGAAAGCACCTGGGACAGCCCCTCTCATTGTACAGATGGAATTGGGGAGAACGAGACATACGTGTGTATCCCAGCATCCCACCAGAATTGTACTAGTGCAGCTGCTGTGCCAGAGCCAGGTTTGGTTGATTGCCACAGCGAGGCCAGTCTGTTTTCTCTGCCTCACCATATGGTACCCAGCATTGCATTTCTTCAGCCTGGTTTTCCAGCCCTCTTGACAGGGAAAGCGATTGTCACGTAGGATACTATGGTTCACCCAAGTCAATGGAATGGCATCGTGCATTCATTAGTGCAACTCCTGTCGTGGTTCCTTTTTTGCCTGTAGTGATTCTGTGCTGCCCATTTCTCCTGCAGGGTGTGGTCGGAGGCGTCATGATTGTCACTCCTAACAACATCATGTTTGACCCTCACAAGTCTGACCCCCTGGTCATTGAAAATGGGTGTGAAGAGTATGGCCTCATTTGCCCCATGGAAGAGGTGGTTTCCATCGCCCTCTACAATGACATTTCCCACATGAAGATCAAAGATGCCTTGCCATCGTAAGAGACATTTCTTGTATATCAGAAAAAAAGGGGGGTTTTAGGAGAATTCAGTGCAATTAAAAACTGAAGGCACTGGCAGGAATGAGAGATTGTGTGGAGGTGAATTTGAAGGTGGAAGATCTATGCACTAAATTTTTTAAAGGTTAGAAAAATGAGAGGAAATGGAAATGAAAAAGTCAATGGTAAGGAAGAGTGGAACATATAAAAATGAAAGGACAGAAGCAAACAGGCCCACACACAGAAATGGTATTTGGCTTATTTTTCTGAAAAGCAGTGCATGTTCTTAATTAATTTATGAAAGAAGAAATGAAGTGTCTTGGAAAGAATTTTTGTCTGGTTACCAATAATAGTGTTTTATTGTCAGCTTAACTGTTAAGCAGAGTTATATTCTTTATTTAAATTCTCGAATTGGCAGTCTGCCTAATCATGTCTTCCCTTAATCCCGCATGGAGATTTGAGTGGACTGGGCAGTGGCCACTTCCCCTGTAGCCAGACTACCTTAAGTGGTGTGAAGAGGAGTAATACTGGCGTGTTTTGTCTGTGAAATGTAGATGAATATTCCTTTAGTCCTGATTATTTTTT